TTTTTTTTTTTTTTTTTTTTTTTCTATAAATTGAATGGAATGAATAAATCTATATCTATATTGCATCGAGTGTTTCATAGTTCAAGGATTAGTTCACGTTTCTTTTTTATCTTTTTTATCTAAAGTAATATTCGTAATATTTGACTCATCGAATCTTTTTTATTGATTGATAAATTCGTGTCCGTGATAGATTCCTGTAGATTAATTAATAACGTCTCACGTTACGCACACTGATAATTTTCTTATCTCTTAACTCTAAGTGCTCGTCGAAATAATAATCGAAAGATAATTTTTGCGAAAATTTCTATTGAATCTTATCTTTCAATAATGAGGTTATTTATAACGACATTAAAAAAAATATATATATATATACACCATCTCAATCAACTTGGCAACAATTATAATATTTAAAAAATTACCCCCCCCCCCCCGTTTAATAATTTCCACGAAAATTAAATTTAATCTTAATTATAAATTACACGCACGATTCCTTTTACTTAAAAATAAATTTATCGATCAATTTTTCGAAAAAAAGCTATTATATGAGATTAAAATTAATAGAAGAAAAAAGATCGGCGAGAAAAACCTCTCTCTCGTCGATTTACAGATTTTCACTTACACCATCGATAAAATCTCCACCTACCCGATCAACATTATTACATTTAAAAATCTCCCTTATTATCTCGCAGGTAATCGACACATAAATGTTACGCCTCGTAAATATATTTCGTTTCGTGATACGAGGCATTTACCTGCGTCTCTCTTTCTCTCTCTCTCTCTCTCTCTCTCTCTCTCTCTCTCCCCATGTGTGCAGCACATGCGTATATTACACCTCTACTCTTTATCGAAAGATATCTGAGCGGCGTATCTGTAACAAGATAACGTGCCGTCGACTAAAAGTGCCTCGCCTCACCTGCCTTCCAGTTCGCCTCGCTCGGTTATTAATCCGTTTTCATTTCTTTTCTTTCTCTCTCTCTCTCTCTCTCCCTCCCTCCTTCCCCTCTCTCTCTCTCTCTCTCGTGGATAAAAAAAAAAGAAAACGTTGGTGAAAACGCGAGAGGGATCAAGACGGACGTCGACTGCGAATCTCTGCACGAGTAAAAAACACGCGAGTAAACATGTGATTGGACATTGTTCACTTGAGTTTTTCTCCTTTCTCTCTCCCTCTCTTTCTCTGCCTCTCTCTCTTTTCACGATTTCGATCGGCAAATTGTGTCGAACAGGTGCGTAACATAACGAAGGAGTCGATCGATCGATCCCCTTCTCGATTATATTATTCGTATATTTCTCTCTCTCTCTCTCTCTCTCTCTCGTATTTTATTTTAACGCGTTGTTAAATTGTGTTTAGAAGAAAATTTATCGAAAAAAAAAAAAAAAAAAGGGAACGCCGTGCGAAAAAGGTTATTAAAAAATATTTTTCGAAATGAAATTCCTCGAAGGAGACGTCATCAATGGTGATGATTCATCGTGACACATACTTAGCCGTGGGACACGTGTAATGCGCTTGTAACGTGGTTAATTGGATAATTGGAGCTTGGTGTTGGATGGTATAATGCAAAATGGATATTTAGAAATCCGGATTACAAACGCGTTCGAAATAAACTTTTCCCTCCTTTTTTCTTTTTTTTTTTTTTCTTTCCAAATTTCTAAATTAATTCGAAGGATCGATATATTAAATACATATATATATATATATATCTTTTGTCGAAAAGGAATGGCCATACATATCCAGGAAGTGATACGATCGGAAGTGGATGGTGGCCTGGCTGGACCGGCTAATCCAATACCGGACGAGTCGATAGACTGTGGTTGCGCGCAGTTGCCGTGCCCAAAGTTGGCGAGATTCGCAACGAGGCGGTTGTTCGTCGGGCTGTTGTCATGGGTAGGCCTGATCCAAGCCGCTGCCTACGCTTACCTTCACATGGCAGGGCCGACCATAGCGAGGAGGTTCCAGTTCCACCCTTACGCGATGGGTAGAAACGTGCTTTCCATGCTTTTTTTTTATCCACCTCCCCCCTGAGAAAGAAAGAGAAGACTGAAAATATGTAAATATGCTTTCTTTCATTTTTTCATCCAGAATGGGTGCTAATAGTTTCCGACTTGACGCCGTTCATTCTCGGGGTGGTGATCGCCTATTGGGGCGACAGGATACACAGGGCGGCGTGGATCGGCGCCATTGTCCTCCTGCAAAGTATCTCGTATTTCGTTATGATCATACCTCATTTGACCCATCATACGAAAGTGGTGGAGGAGACTGAAAACGTAACCCATATGTCGATATACGCGGGTGAGTTATTTAGTGTAATATTTTTTTAATTTTTAACTTTAGGTAATTTAAGATTTTTAAGTGTTAATTATGTGTATATATATATATATATATATGTATTTTTCTTCTTTCAGAGGACAGTCGAGATCTTTGCTCGGAGACGACATCGAGAATCGTGGCCAAGGAGAACGAATTTTGTTATTTCACGTTGGCGATGATCATAGTGGTACAAGTGGTGTCTGGTATAGCGAATATTTCGTATTTTGCATTGGGCGTTTCCTATTTGGACGACAACACGAAGAAGAAGCACGTAGCAGGCCTCATAGGTTTCCTCATTTCTGTAAAAATTTTCGGTATCCTTGTTGGATGCATGCTGGCGTGGATATGCCTTAGGTGAGCGATATGAAAAATTTAATAATTTTTAAATTTAATAATTTAATAATAGAGAGCAAGCAAGAAAGAAAGGAAAAAATGTTGAATGAAAAGTGTTCACATATCTTTGTGGAAATTTATATACAGATTCGACGCGGTTACCTTGAACCCCATAGAATCCTATAGAGAACAGATCGGTGCATGGTGGCTGGGTTTGCCAATTTTCACTTTGCTGCTTATAATTCCCGGCCTCCTTCTCTCGTGGTTCCCACGTATGCTACCATCAGAGGTGATTAAAAATTTAATAAATTTGAAACGAATCCGAGAATCGTCCATTGAAAATATCTCTATTTTTTTCAGATCGTGGAGAAAGCGGCTGTGTCGTTGTTGAACAATTCCAATAATCGACCACCACGCACGATAGTGAGCCAAAGCGTTGGAAGTATAGATTTCTGGCCATCGTTGGGTAGACTGATCACGAATAAGATTCTGATGTGTCAAATCTTGGCCTGTACCCTCTACATCATGGCCATAGTGAATTTCGTGGGTTTCGAGAATCTTATTGGACAGTCGAGATTTCACGTGCCGAAACCCACTGGGATGTTGCTAGGTTTCGAGGATCCTATCTCTTCGAGATTGATAACAAGTAAAAAAAAATTGAGAGAATTATCTTACATTTTCTTTCGAGAGACGTATGTCAAGATTTAATTTTCCAGATATTTTGAAGCCCAGTCTGGTCGCGTTGATCGTTGTACTCTCGGGAATGGTAATTTCAAAATTGAAACCCAGCGCGAGAAGTGTCATTGGGTACAGTATTATCGTTGTGCTTTTGGCAGCTGCGATCATCTTTGCACTCACTGCTGCGACTTGTGATAAAAAGCCTATCTTTGGCACCACTAAAAAGGGATCGTGAGTATGAATGACGAGAAATAATTACGTGTTACGTTTTATATATATTTATCGTGGTTTAAAAAAATATTCGAACATTTTTAGCGCAGAGCACAAAGATTTCTTTCTCGCCGAGATGTCATTTTGATCAAATCAATGCTCAAAATGCTTCAATGAATTTTCTTTGAATGTAATTTTCTAATAGAACAAAATTTAAAAAAAAAATGTTTAAAATTTCGTGCTCTATTATAAAAAAAAGTTCTTAGATGAAATTGTATAAAAAATTTAGAAAGATTGATTTCTTGATATATATAAATATATTTCATTAAAATCAGAATTAGATGAATTGTAAGATATAAAATAGTAGTTCGAATACTTTCACGAACCACGTATATTTTATATATTATATTGTAATATATCACTTATATTATTCTTTCTTTCCTTTTTTTAGTCTTATATTATTGCATTATTGCAATCGAAATTGTCGATGTTCAAACGATGCCGATTTTCGTCCCGTCTGCGACAATAAAGGCACACACACCTTTTATAGCCCTTGTCACGCTGGATGCACTTTTTCCGAAGTCAGAAACGGTATAACAACTTACAGTGAATGTAGCTGTGTAGAAACTGTAATGGGCGCAGGGAAAACGGACGCGATCGATGGACCTTGCACTTCGAATCGTTGTCAATTCAATTGGGTAGCTTTCGAGGTTAGTTATTCCTTTCCATCCTCTATAATATTAAAAAATTCTCACGAAACTATCTATTTAATCCTTTTTGTCAACGAATTATCGAAATTATCAAAATTATACAATATCAAAATTACGTACGTACTTAACATTGTCGTATTAATAATTTCAATTATTAATAACAAAATTTTTATATTAAACAATTTATATATTCTTCCTTATCCTTGATATTTAGATCTTTAATTTGTAATCTTCGAGAATCATATTCGAGAGATATAATTGTCTCTGTTAAGAGATTATTTTAATAATAGAAGATTTTTCTCTTCTTCAGTTTGGAATTCTTTTATCCTGTGTATTAGTTGCTTCGACCTTCGTGGGAGATATATTGATCATCTTGAGATCGGTGACTGTACAGGACAAGGCTATCAGCATAGGATTCCTCATGACGTGTATAGCATTTATACCTGGAAAAGTTTTATACGACGTGATAGCAAATCTAACCTGTCTATATTGGGGAACGCAAAAAATTTCGTGTCGTATCCACGATGGCACGAAGCTCGGCAACTATCTGTGCTATATGACAGGTTCTTTGTTGGTTTTGTGTGTTATATTGAAATTGGTTGTGTGGTGTCTCTCCGAAGATTTGAAACTTTATGTCCAGAAAGAGGGAGAAGCAACATCGATGACTGAAATGAGGGAAATGATTCCAAACACGAATGATGCGACCAATCAACAAGATCGAAGAGGTAACGAGAGTGAAGTTATAACGCATCAATCTTCTTTAAGTACGTTGTAATTTTGTAAAATAGATTTCTAATTTTTTTTTTTCTGTTACTGCTAAGATCATTTTAAATAGCGTTGAGAAGATTTTATTTGGGAATAATTATTGATGCAAAGTTATTATTTATAAATATTTTTCTTTAAAACAAATTAAATTAGATTAGTTTTAATCAGATTTATTATCAGATTATTACAAATAATTAGTGGCTAATGATTTTGAAATTAAAATGAAATTAATTTATGTATGATATTATGTATTGGTTAGGTTAGGTTTAACAACCGTTAAATAAAACTCAACACTATTCAATATGATGATCTTGACTTAACGTAATAAATAATCATCGATATCAGAAAATATTATTGTAAATATTTATCATTAATATGAAATCTTTGTAGATGATACAACAATTAACGTAGAAAAATCAAGCGAAGACCTAAAAAAATCCGTCAAATCCATATACGAAAATGTAGGAACAGAAGATCAAGAAACCGAGGAAACTCCACTGAAATACGGTCCCTTAGGTCCTGGAGATCGTCGAACAGATTCAAAAATTTCCCTCAATCAACCGTCTCAAGCTCAAAAATCAAAAATACGAAATACAGACTCCGAAGACGATCTAAGTTCCAGTGACGAGGAGGGAAAGAAAGATTCGAGTCCAAAAGTAGCTTACAGACCTTTGGATATCGATTCAGACGTGGAAAGTGATCTCAGCAGCATAGAGCCAAGGTCACGTAAACGCATCATGGGAAGAGACTACGAGTCTGTATATAACAGCGATACTTCTTCCGCCAAAAACTCACTCAAACGAGAATTTCCAAATCCAGACAATTATGGTGATCCAAGGTTGAATCGAAGAAACATAGACGGTTCCTCGAAGACGAGCAGTTTTGAATTTTCAAGGAAGAGGCAAAACGAGCCTTTACAAAAGAGGGGAGACTTCAACGAAGTCGGTATACCTATTGTCGATCCTGTATCCACGAAAGGTGTAAAATCGTTGATCGATAGATACGAGAAGGTTGATGAGGAACAAGAATTGACGATAGCGGGAGAGAATGGAAATCATCCAGAGCATAAGATAGGAATTCCATTGGTGGCCATGGCGTCGAAGAAGTCAAATTCGATAAATCAATATTCGTCTGAGTTCAGTAATTTAGGGGATGGTAAGATTCCTGAGAATCGACCAGAGTCAAGAGAAAGTGTTAGCCCAAAAACATCCAGTAAAGGGAGTGTAGGAACATTGCACACTGATTTTTGATAGATAATGATAATAGTGTTGCATGTTATTTCGTTTTGACATTTTATACCGAAGTCTATAGAAAGTTATTTATTCAGATATTTCTGTTTACTTTTTTTCATCTATTCAGAATTGAATTTTATTTATGTTATTCATGAAGTATTAAAGTGTAGGTATTAAGATGTTAGGTAAGAGTAATAGATAAAGTAATATATTGAAGTTGTTTTCAGTTTGGAATTTTTTCCATGATATAGAAATCAACAGTTGTTATTATCAAAAAATAATTGATATATTTTAATGATCGTTTTATTTCATTGAGCTATAAATATGTTACAGATAATTCTGTAATTTAATTGAAAACTTTTAATGAATTATAGATTATTTATATTATTAGTCTAAGGCTAAGTGCATATTATAATTAAAGAAGTTATTTTGTATACGATTGATAGTCTTAGAATTTTGAAGAATTGTAGAAGAATGCTCAAAAATCTATCGTATCTATCTCGAAAAATGTTTCTCTTGAAAACTAAAAGAAGTGAAAATAATTGATAAAAATATGATTATTCGTCCGAAGAATATTTTTACATGATTTTCAATTTAGCATTTCTTCTATATTTTAAATTTTTTAATTTGATAATAAATACAGTTTTTCTTCTTCATATTATGTATAATTACAGCTTCTTAAATAGTACAAATTTATATTATATATATATTTTTATATTACTTACTGAAGATACATATATTCGAGATACATATATTCTTCATGTATTTATGAAAAGAAAAAAAAACGAAAAATTATTTACTATTCAAAAGTATGAAGTGCAAATAATTTATAAAAAAAGACTGTATGATTAATTCATAATTAGTTTATTATTCATATGATACTGCCAATAATTTAAATAAAGTAAAGTTTAACATTGTCTATAAAAATTAAATTGACTTTTCTTTTATATGAAATAAATCAATAAGCATTTATTTACACTTCAACATAAGAAAAAAAAATAAATTTATTGTAGAAAATAAGAATACTGCAATGTTCATCACATATTTGTCAAATTATTTTATATTTATTACAAAATCATTTAAATATATTATTTTATCTAATCATTTTTTTATTTATTTACCTTTAAACGAAGTTCATATTTTAAATAAGTATTATTAAACTTAAAACTATAGTTTCAAAAAAAGGATTATTTTTGCAGGTAATAAAAAGGATTATTTAAAATATAAATCACGACGTAGATAAAATTGTTTTATTGAAAGATATATAATTACTAAAATTAAAATTTCAAAATAATAGATCTCTATTTGAAATCCAAATAGCCTAATTTATTGCTCATTTTTATTATCGTCAGTATTAATCTCTCTTTTAATAATTCATACTTTCTACTAATAAAAATTCTTAATAATGTGTAATCATCTATCTAAGTTCATGTAAATTAATCTGTTCAAGTAAAAAACAATTATTTTATTTGAATAGATTCTCTATAGTCTTATTAATATTATTCAACAACGATTCGTTAATTTAAAAAAGAGATATATATTATATCATATGATAAATTTAAAATTAAAACATCTGTCAGATAGATAATAGATACAAATTATCATTCTCTATATATATTTTGTACACGAGAAATATGAATTAGTTTATGAATTGAAGGTATCATACTGATATGAGTCGTTTTACACTTACTCTTGCATCTACGATGAGAATTGTTATTCAATAACAATGTGTAATAAAACGAGGATACTAAATAAAAAAAAAATTAATTCATTTTCTTTTTCAAATGCCCTCACAAATGAACTATAGTCAACGATAAGTTCTATCCGAGGTACTACGAGTATGTTTTAAATATATCCAAGAAATTGCTTAAGGTACTTGTAAAGTCTTTATTCGTCAGCTCTTCCATTTCCTTTTTTTGACGTTTCCATCTTCTTTTTGTTTATTTATTTATTTTAATTCTTTTTTCTCTTCACCAATGACTTTCGATTTTAACTTTTCATCTTTCCTCGAAACGAAGCGATTTGATATCTGATCGGTATGATTTACTTTCAAAGCGTCTCTCCTGGCTCTTCGGGTATGTCTTTCAATTCAATCTCCTCATCGAAAATCTTTACATCTTTTACGAAATACCACACACCCACATCGAATAACGTGCCGATCGTTACGAATGCTGGAAAAAGATATCATAGCGATAATAAGATTAATCTGAGGAAAATTATTATTATTTTTAAATGATTTATTATTATTTTGCATATCTAATGTACATAAAAAGTAAACGAAAATTTCATAAATAAATTCATAAATAAATACACAACTTACTGGCTGCAGTAAAGTTTAGTAGATATCTCAATGTTTCTCCATTGTAGAGCCAACAATTTCCTGTACCTGAACATGTTTTCCCCCAAACAATACAGGTCTTATCTGTAAAAATAATATTTATATAATATTTGAAGAAATTTCACAAAAAAAAAATAATAATAAGAATCAATCAATTCATCTCACCTAAAATGTATCCGAATAAAATAGGGGAAGGTATGAATGCAAATAAACTCATAATAGTTAATCCAAAGCCCATAGCCACTGTTTTATCCTTTTCATCCACGCATCTGACAGAAACCAAAAAATTCGATGCCCTTCCGGTGGCGCCGCTGAATTTAAGCAAGCAAACCACAGCCAGAAATATATAAAATTTGTGCATACAATCCACGGGACACGCTCCTGGAATCGCGGTTCCAAAACCTGTTGATCCATCGGGTGCTGGTGTCTCGAATGGAACATCAGTTGTCTGCGGATTCCATGTGTTGTTTGGAAACAAAAATGGCAAACGTGCGAACTTCGGTTTGATGCAACTGCATTCCGTATACAATTTACTACTGTTGGTTAATATCTAGAAATAATTAAATGAAAATATGATAATTATATTTTTGTTAAAATTATTAAAATCGTTTAAAAGTCTTTTTACATTTTTACCAGTTTTTTACTATTTGATTGAAAATGAATATTGATCGAGTGTCGATCAAGATTATATCGATAGTTCACTGATATTCATTTTCAATCGATAGTCAATTGACATTCATTTTCAATCGAATAGTATCATTTTTTTGAGAAATATAACAAAATCGAAAATAACATAATATATAAATATATAGAACAAAAGCTGATTTTTTAAAAAAATTTCTTTTCATTTCACTCATTTCATAAAAATAATAAACTTATCAAGAATAATTAAAACTTTCGAACCTTTATATTACGACATCCAGCATGACAAGCTGAGATGAAAGTCTGTCCATGTTCGGAGCAAACAGGATTATAAGTAACGTAGTCACACATGCAATGCTCGTTGCAAGGGAGTTGAGTCTTCAAGCTGCCATCCGGTTGAACCATAATCTGCTTGTCGTTGGCCGAGCAACCCAAAAAAGCGTAAGATATCATTCCTACGACCGATATGGCGCCCACCATCACGTTCCATGCGGCCAGATACCTAGCCTTGGGTTTGTATTTGGAGATAATCAAACCAGAAAGAAGAATTCCAAATGCACTGAAGACTAAACCAACTGTTCCAGTGATCAATGATGACACAGAAGCGGATTGTTTGTACTGAGTTTCGATGTATTTCGGCATGAAAATCCAATATGGCATGTATCCCATAAAATAGAAAACGGTTGCCAAATTGTTGCACATCAGAGTAATGTTTGTTAATAATCGTTTAAATGTCCTCAGCATATCCGAGAGAGAAGCTGGTAATTCTGATTCCTCTTCTTTGATGCTCGTTGCAGTTTTGTTTCGTTCCAATGCTAAAGCTCTACGAGCTGCGGCTCTTGGTAATGTTTTAGGAAAAAGCGCGATTACGCTTGCGAAGATGAAGAGAAAAATCGCCAGAATAATCCAACCAAGCCACCAAGCACCTAACCATCTATTTTTGTTTGGAAAAAATTTTTGAAATTAAAATTATCTTTACCTTTGCATCCTTTTTCGACTCTATATGGTTAATTCGTTCCATGTTGCATCGAAATTTTGTTACGCAGAGATGTGCGAGAAACTGAAAATATCGGGAACCCGATGTTCGGGTCGAATCGATTCAGATCGGGTCAGATCGGCTAGGATCGGGTCGGCTCGAGTCAGATCGGCTCAAGTCGGGTTCCGAAAGTATCTCACAGTTCGAGAATTTCGGGATTCCTGAAAACTTCAGAATTTTTGAAAATGTCAAGATTCTTCAGAATATTGAGGAGTTGAGTAACATTTTGAAACTATACTTGTCCAAAAAATTAAAGTCAGTCCCGAATACTTGGGAATCTCAAATATACATCTGTGTACAAGATATTTTCGGAAAACGAAAGGATATTTTCCAACTCGATCCAACATTTTCGGCTTCTCACATGTCTCTAATATTAAGCGAAATCTAGAACTAATACAATTTAGAAAAATGTGAAAGAAAACAGTGATAGAAACATTTATAACATTCATATGTTATTAAGTGTTATATGGAATATTCGATCGAAATCTAGTTTTTCTAATATGTGTTATATTATAAAAGATAATTGGCAGTAGATATAATTTGGTGTACCTTGGATCCTGTGTCGTAATGGTGGGCGTCAAAGTAGGACTGATATAAAATTTCAACGCGAACGACGCCAACCCATAACCAATAGCGGGTCCCAACATTCTCAAGAAATAGGAAAAACTGATCAGTGCTGGTGTCTTCGATTTCTGTATATTATCGTCCATGTACGATACACCTAAAGTGTAATAGAGTGAACCACCGACTCCTGACACTAATTGCGCAATGAAGAGCAATGCTTGGGGGGCGAAATTTCCATCAGCATCCTCACACTCATCCTCTCGGCTTTCCTTTCCGAGACATAAGAACTTCCGATATTTATCAGGTATGTGACTCGAGTTTTCTGACTTTGCCCCGTACTCTTTCGTAAGTAAAAGAGCGTCTTCTCCTGGACCATATAAGAAGTGTGGCAACATTGTTAAACAACAGAAGACAACTACCTAAAGCACAAAGTAAATACGATATCTTTCATCTTTCATCGTTTCATAAGAATCACTTATTTGCTTTTTAAGTTTTTAAGATTGATTTGTTTATACGATTAATTAGTAGATATTATTAGCGACTAGATAGTAGCTAAATATGGTATTTGTCTTCGATAAAACTGATCCTCAATTTTATGTACATACAAAGTATTTTATTATTTACAATGAAACGTGCTACTTTAATACAATACGTATTTCCCGATATTTACATTTGTCTGATTAAACAAAATCAGTCTGGAAAAATGTTATTCTTCAAGTTTTTTTTTTTATCCATCATCTTTGGACACGATCTTTATAAGTCGTGTTTACCGTTACCGTAACGTTATCTAACGATTGCTCTAACAATTCATCTTAATATTCGAGCGTGGAACGTTGACTAATTAATTCGTCGAAAGATCGTCAACGAAAAGATCAATGACGATCTCAAAGATCTTTGTAGAGTTTTTTTCAAATCTGAATCGATCGTTATTATAAGTATATATATATAAATTTTACTTTTATAACAAGATATAAAAATAATGTAGAACAATGGAAAAAAATAATCTGACAAAGTATATATATAATTGCATTGAACCAATACATTGAATCAATCTCCTATCAAAGCGTTATCAGTCATTTATATCGAATGATATCAAATATGCCGATATTTCGTGTTATTTATAATGTGGCTCGAGAAAAGATATTTTCTAATTTCTAATAACTATTAATTGTGGTTCAATTTATAATATAATTAAACAGAAATGCTTAAAATCAATTTAAGTCATAATATTTTATTTTTAAAAATGAATCAAAATCCAATGAAAATTAAAATATCATATCGATGTGAAAATAATTGCAATGACTTCTAAAAAATATCTCGCAATTTTAAGGATCTACAGATTGTCAGTCGAAATAACGTCCAATAATATTCGAACGAAAATTATTTCGACATAAATATTGAAAATATGTAAGGCGAGATGTTTCTTCGCACACCAACATCGCCTTTTCACTGGCCAATGAATGGAGTGTTTAGCTAAACACACTGTGGCGAGAGTGTACGATGGGAAGAGGCGTGAATGAGCGTAGAGCTACGATTTCAACGCTTCCTAATTTAATTAAGAACTGACCAACCGGTTGGTTATGACGTCTCCTAGCTCATTCTTTGGGGCGTGTGCCGACAGCTGATTGCCACAAGTTTTCTCTCCGTTCTTCGCGAACGAGAAGAGGAATAAGAAATGATCAAAAGGGCTGAGAAAGGGCAGAAATCACAGAGAGAGATTAATACTCACCGTATAAATCCCGAATGCGATCCATCGAGGCCTGTGACCCCTTCCTGCGTAATACGACAGGACCACCGATACGAACAATTGCGAGATATCGTTGCCCACGGAGATGAGACCTGGAGAGAAAAATAATTAACTCGGTTTTATTGATTTGTGATATAGACATATCGTATTTTTAGATTTCAACGTGTACGACCTTTTTCTTTTTTTTTTTTCAAAATTTTTTAATATTCGCAACTATTTTCAACAGCGTGATCACATATAACGTAAAAATTCTTTTCAAGATACAATTTTCAAGAAATATATATCACATCTCTAATTCCCACCTGTCGTCTTGGAAGGTATCTTGAACCTCTTCTCGATGGTGGTAATGGTACCGTTGAAGTACGCGTAACTAGCCGAAAATATACAACCGAGCACACCGTAGAGGAACACGTAAGCCTTCTTATTGGCGAATCTCTGCAACGTGGGGTTCCTTATGCACCATATACCGCAGGAGGTCTCGTCGGTGATGGGTAGATCTTTGAACACGTCCTCGAGCCCCCTCGGCGTGGTAGGGGTGGTTGGGGTTGTCGGAGGGGTGGACGGTACCCTCAACAACTTGAGGCTCTCCGGCCCGTTCTTCTCGTGGTTGCCCGTGTTATTCTTCATCTTCTTTCGCTTTATGGGCGGCGTTCACGTATCACCGGCAAACAACGCCGCTACGCAGCTTCGAGATCGCTTTGACCTCAATCGCTGATCGCACGTTTTCGATCGACGTCCGCTGTCCTCGCGGCCCTTGGCATCGCTTTTCCTCGCTTCGACACCCCCTCTTCCTCTCTTTTATTAACTATTGTTTAATTATTCTAAGGGTCACGTGTTCTCCATCGTTTCGGTATCCGCGTGCT